AGACCATCCTGACGCGGCACCGCCTCCTCGGTCGGTTCCCGCACATCAGGCTTCTCAGAGTCCAGGGCCACGCAGATCCCGGCGCCCAGCACAGTGCTGCCCCCACAGCAAGAGTGCCGACCCTGATGTCCAGCCCATTCCCGGGGTCACACTGCCCTGGCTCGGCGATGCCCACGGCTGGACGCAGGTTACCCACCAGGAAAAGGGAGCTGACAGAACTAACAAGTCAGGGAGCAGGAAACCGAAAGCAGCGCGGCGGAGTCCACACTGGGGAGCCCAGACCCAGGGCCTCACCCCACCCTCCCCGACCCGGGTGAGGCCCCTCGTGCGCCCCGTGCAGAAGGGCGGCCTCTGCTCTCAGAAGGGCCAGGGCCGCCCTCGCAGGCCTGTGGGAGCCGTGGGCCCGTGTCCGGGGCTCCGTCAGCCCAGCCCCTGAGTAAGGCGCTCAGTCACAGATAGGGGAACTGAGTGAAACTCCCCCACACCCCACACAGAGCAGCACGGCCCCAGGAGCGGCGGCAGAACCAGATTCACACCCAGCAGTTCTGAGATCTGAGGTGAGGAATATAAAATAACTGAATATAAATATGGGAAGAAATTGTAAAAATCTGTCTTAAAAAAACAAGCAACAAAATGCCATACAACTGGGGCCCCGGCTGAGAACGGCCCGGCCTCCCCTGTAAACCGCCACCAAGCTGAGCGAACACACCCCAAGGCTTCCAGGCGCACGACAGAACTGCAAGCGCCACTCCTGGGGGGGGCGGCCAAGGGGCCCAGTCCCGCCATTTTTGGGGAAGAGACAGCAGCCCTGGAGGAAGGCCTGAGCGCACGAAAGGGAAGCGGAAACGGTCTAGAAAGTGAAGAGAGACTGGGAGCGGGGCGCAGGCGGGGCAGCAGGGGGGAGTGGGAGCCACACACACCCCCACAGCCGCCACCCAGGGCGGGATGGGAGGGCGGCCACTAACAACCGGACAGAATTCTTCGTCTCTAAGCAGTAGGCGAGGAACAATGTGGTGACCAGGCAAATGAACAAGCCGTTATTCAACCTCAGAACTGAGGGAGAGGAGGAAGAAGGGGACACTGTCAAGTCCACGCCGGACGGAGCAAATCCAAGAAAGTAACCCTCACCGGGCGCGGGAGCGGCCGGCGTGGCCGTGACCTGCCCGTGGCAGGGTCTAACGCCGTTCCTAGGGCTTCACCAGAGACAAGCCCGGCACACAGGCCACGGAAGGGCTGCACGTCCAACGGCGGACACGTGCCCCTCGGCCACGCTCACCAGAGAGACGCGCGGGGATGTTCCCGGCAGCAGCCCCAGCACGGAGGCTCGAGCGGCTCCACATGGGACAGAAGGCCCGGTTCTGGAGACACACACTCTACACAAAAGTAAAGAAGCTCAAAATGCAGGAGGCAAACGCGTGTATTTTAATAAGTTTTTAAGGAGAAAGTAAAAGAAAAAGCCCCATAAAAGAGATCAGAAATGCTGTGACTATGGCAGAAAATACAGCACTTTGTCGTCTGTTCAAGGCTTTCTGTCTGATCGGCATGTTTCAGACTGTTCACAGCTGCGATCGGTCAGGAAACGTGCGGCAAAGGCAGAGCCGACGGCCCATGAGAGGTTTCAAATCACCTCGCTCACTTAGACCATCAGTCAGGCAAAACCCTAGTGAGTGTGGGACTGTTTAGCAGAGCAACTAGGAAACGGTTCAGAAGACAAATATAAAAAGCCACGTCCCCGAGATGAAGGATACACACACCCTTAAAGCGCAGGGACATTCACCGACGCCGCCCACGTGCTGCGCCGTGAGTAGTTAGGCGTGTCTCTCAGAGCAGCCCACGCGGAGGCGGGGGATGGCGTTCCGTCCGCTCCTCTAAGCTCCTCTGGCTGGACCCTCGTCAAGGCAACACGAGACGGAGGAGCAGGAGAAAGCGAGCAGGCGGACTGCACATGCGCCGTGTCAAGAACAGCGTGGAGCCGGCACAGCCAGGCTAACAAAGCCACTGAGACCCCACGGCGCGTCCGAGGGACAGAGCGCTTCACGCTAACCAGCCCGAGGACTAGAACTTAAAGTGCTGAACCTCCGGTGCCTGGCGCCTCCGGGAACCCACGTGCGCCCTCTGCAGAACGGGGAAAGCAGGTCCGCGCACCTGGCGGCCTGAGATCACCACTCAGACCACCCCAGAGGCCGAGGATGCGGGGCGGCCCTGCTCCCTAAGATGCCTGGCTCTTCTGCTTCTTCAGAACACTCTGGTGTGACCTGCAGTGGACCCCGATTTGCAATCTTAAGACCCTGGAGTAAACCTGTCATTGAATTCTGGAGAGCGTCCTCATTCATGGCACTCAGCGGGCAGTACGGATGGGGTCCCTGGGACCACGGGCTCCAGGGGACACTGACAGCCGAGGCTTCCTCGCCGTCCTGGACTAGGAGGCAGGGGGCTGGGACTTCCGGGCAGACAGAGGCGTGGATATGTAAGCAAAACGTGCTGGGACCCGAGTCAACTGGGCACAGAGAAGAGCTAGTCACTCTGCAGGAGGCAAACGTGCCCTCACCACCTCACAGGTTATGTCCTCTCGTCAATGCAATTAGAGACCAGGCAGTTATCAGAGACAAAGATTAATCAAGGTTCAAATTTTACAACTGGAAATTGAAAAACAAACTTTAAAGTTCATGAGTCAAAAATTATATTCAGAGGCGGTGTAACTGTATCTACACAGAAAACAAAATCATCTACAGGAAAATTATTTAGAGTAACAAGAGAGATTGTCAACTCTGTGGCTGGATAAAAAAAACCTGCTTACATTTCTATACAATAGGAGCAAATAATTAGAAATATAATTTTCTTAAAAAGAATATCATTTTAAAAACAGAATTCACCAAGTAGAAAGACAAAAGAAGGGATTTTAGGGCAGTGAACCTACTCTGTCCAGTTATAATGGTACATATCATGTGTCTACCACATTGGCCCACACCACAGCACCGACAGCCCGGGAGTGGCCTCACGTAAGCCGCAGGCTCCGGTGGCGGTGGCGTGCGGTGTGGGCGCACTGACTCTATCGAGTGCACCACCTGTGGGTGCGGATGGTGAAGGAGGCTGCCCCATGTGGAGCCTGGCAGGGGCCTACGGCAAAGCTCTCGTACTTCCTGCTCACTATGACGGAAAACCTAGAACTCTTCTAAAAAAGTAAAAAGACAAAAATTTTCAGGAAAAGACCAAAGAGATACAAATACAAAATCAAATAGTTAAATTAAAACCTTATAATCAGGTTAATTTCCAAAACAGAAAGAATTCATACAACTCAACAAAAGGAAGACAAACAATTCAATTAAAAAACGGGCAAAAGACCTGAATAGACACGTCTCCGAGGAGGACATACAGAGGCCAATTGGAACAGGACAAGGAAGGTCCGACATCACTCATCATCAGAGAGGCACACGAAAGCCACAGTGAGATGTCACCTCGCACCGGCCAGAATGGCCGCCATCAATCAACCAACAGACAACAGCGCTGGTGAGGTGTGGAGCGGAGGGGACCCTGCAGCTCGGGCGTATCAGGACGACGTTCTCACCAACCGAGCTACCTGGCCAGGACGGAATGAGTTTCCAAAAGGATCAGAAAGTCAAATAAAAAAACAGGCAAAGTAATCCAAGATTTATATAACTGGAACGCCTGAAAAATAAAAATAAAACTATGTCCCAGAACGAAAATGTAAGTTCATAATCCCAGAAATTTTTCCTGAAGTGAAATAACACCCACCAATTGATTTTTAGCAAAAGTGCCCAAGTAACTCCATCGGAAAAGGAGAGCCTTTCCACAAATGGTGATGGAACAGACGGACATCCGTGGGGGAGGGTGGGGGGGTCTCAGCCCTGGCCTAATGCCCTGTGTGAAAGCTAACTCCAGGTGTCAGTTTCCAGGGAGCTGACATACAAGCACTTCCCTGCTTCACCCCACTAAGCAGTGTCACAGCAGACCAGCTAAGACAAAGACTTAACTAGGACTCACAGGCTAATAACATAATATCAACATGTCTAGTTCTCAATAAAAAAACCAGTTGTCACACCAAGAATCAGGAAAATATCCATTTCAATGAGAAAAGACATTCAACAGACACCAAATAATACAGAAGTTAGAATTATCTGACAATAATGCAAAGTTCATAAATCTGCTTCAACAGACTATTAAGAACACATTTGAAAAAAATATCAGAAAGAAACAGAAAATCTTAGCAAAGAATTAGAAGATATAAATAACCAAATATAAATTTTATAACTGAAAAAATATAATAACTGACATTAAAATTCAATAGGTGGGCTTAACAGCAGAATGGAGCATACAGAAGTGAGAATCAGTGAACTGAGAGACAGAACAAAAGAAATTACCCAATCTGAACAACAGAGAAAAATAGACTGAAAAAAGTTAACAGAGTCTCAGAGACCTTCGAGACTATAACAAAAGATCTACCATTCACATCAACAGAGTCCTGAAAAGAAAAGAGAAAGAGGGCAGAGCTGAAGACGTATTCAAAGACATAATGGATGAAAGACTCCAAATTTGGCAAAAAAACATAAACCTACAAATTCA